CATATATGAGAAGTTTGTCAATAACCATCAGCTTAAAGAGTGAAAGATGGCATCGTTGAGTACGCATGCCTGCGCAGTGGGCGGAAGCGCCACCGCTAGAGGATTTGATGCAGCCTGGCAAAAATGACCAAGCGCTTGATCAGCCCAAACCAAACAGACATGCAACAAATGCTTGTCCCCTTGCCTAAGTTTAAATGCCCTACCCAGCGTATTGAACCAGTAACCACACTCTCCCGAACCCAGCCTGTAGCTTCCATACCGTACCACGACTTCACCAAGAACACTCTGTGCTAGGTCCAGGGTCTCGTGCAATCCCTTCAAGTCCTTGTTTGAAGTTTTCCCGCTGGCCTCACCCTGTACTACAAGCTGCAGATGGGTCATAATAGGAGAGGCGAAATCCATTCAGGAACGCTCTGACTCGTAGCAATCCTGTCTCCAGTCTGCAGCTTCGGAACCGTTGGAGCCACGCCATCTATCCTGGTAAAGCGCGGGGCTTCGACCGCGTCCTGCACAGACACAGCCGCTGCCATATATGAGAAGTTTGTCAATAACCATCAGCTTAAAGATTGCAAGATGGCATCGTTGAGTACGCATGCCTGCACAGTGGGCGGAAGCGCCACCACCGCTAGAGGATTTGATGCAGCCTGGCAAAAATGACCAAGCGCTTGATCAGCCCAAACCAAGAAGACATGAAACCAAACCATGGGCGTGGTGCCCAGTGAAGGCCCACCCCTCAGCCCTTTTTCCCAGCGAGAGTACCAGTGCACGCTAGAGCGGCTTGATCGCGAGGAGGGAGGCCCCAAGCACATACAGTAACGTCATGGCAATGCGACGAGCAAGCAGTGAAGCTGGTATTCTGTGTTCGTCATGGTGCCACAAGAGCTCCTAGCGGTGCTGCTGGTAGAAGTAGGAAACTCCGGCAATCTCGCTGGGGGTCTCAGGACTAGTCGTCCCTGGAACCTCTCCGCCAAGACGCGACCTCTCAGGCATTATTTTGGGAGCTTGGGTGGAGCTCGCAACTTCAGGTCGGTGGGCTTGCGGACTGCAAGCTAGCGGGGAGGCTGCACGACCGGGAGTACAAACATGGGATCCTGAACATAAAGAAACACGAGATAAACCCCATCCGACAATCCCAGGTCCAGAAATCAAGATTGGCGATGCGTTCGTACAAAATGCTCGGCTGCCACTCCAGGGCACGCATTCTGAAATGCATGAATTGCATGACAGGAAGAAGGGTGAAGGCAATGGTAGTTTCCCTAACCGCGAAGACTACAGAAGGAAACCGGGCGGGTTGAAACCAACGAAAAGAGATCGACCCTGCGGGCGCCCTGGTGGGAGCTAAGACGCTTCCCAATGTCATCATGATACATTGCTGCTGATGAAGAAGATGATGATGATCTTCCCTCGCCGCAAAGAGTCCATGTCTGCGTTGCGATATGATGGTGGTGATGCTAATAATGATGATGACAATGATGATGACATTGATGATGATGATGATGATAGCAATGAGCAAGGGCTGGGCGATGCGCGCCGGCGAAATTGGAAAAGGTGGTTTCAGGAGGGCCGGCTCGTGCTGCCAGGCCTGTAGAAATTTGATGTCATCTTATGCCCAGCCCTGCTTATTGCGCCTGAATGCCTCCAGATTGTGGAGCTTTTTGGGCCACCCTCTTCCACTACAAGATTGCGGCACGCATGCTGAGGATAACAAAGATGCTGCAAAGACATTCGGGGAACGCTTCTTGAAACTGTGACACAGCTAGTTGTACTACAAGCTGGGGGATAATAGGAAAGGCGAAATCCATTCAGGAGCCTGCAGCTTCGGAACCGTTGGAGCCACGCCCTCTATCATGCTAAAGCGCGGGGCTTCGACTTCGTCCTGCACAGACACAGCCGCTCTCATATATGAGAAGTTTGTCAATAACCATGAGCTTAAAGAGTGAAAGATGGCATCGTTGAGTACGCATGCCTGCGCAGTGGGCGGAAGCGCCACCACCGCTAGAGGATTTGATGCAGCCTGGCAAAAATGACCAAGCGCTTGATCAGCCCAAACCAAAACGACATGCAACAAATGCTTGTCCCCTTGCCTAAGTTTAAATGCCCTGCCCAGCGTATTGAACCAGTAACCACACTCTCCCGAACCCAGCCTGTAGCTTCCATACCGTACCACGACTTCACCAAGAACACTCTGTGCTAGGTCCAGGGTCTCGTGCAATCCCTTCAAGTCTTTGTTTGAAATTTTCCCTTCGGCCTCACCCTGTATTACAAGCTGCAGATGTGGGATACTCGGAGAGGCGAAATCCATTCCGGAACGCTCTTACTCGTAGCAATCCTGTCTCCGGCCTGCAGCTTCGGAAAAGTTGGAGCCACGCCATCTATCATGCTAAAGCGCGGGGCTTCGACTTCGTCCTGCACAGACACAGCCGCTGCCATATATGAGAAGTTTGTCAACAACCGTCAGCTTAAGAGCTGCAGCTTAAAGAGTGAAAGATGGCATCGTTGAGTACGCAATTTGGGACTGTGCAACCGTTTACGCAACCTTTTAGCCATAGTTCAATGCTCGACGGAAAGCTCCTGCTCGCTTTCATGTCGCTGCAGTGCCAGCACCTCCTGGAGGTGAAAAGCACGTCGCAACTAAACCAAAGGTAAGCATAGGAAAGGCCATCAAAAAAACTATCAAAAAACTTTTTGCTGAAGATGACAAACTTGTGGGTAAAAAAAACTTTTCTCGATAAAAAAAGCGAATTTTCTTGAAATGCGGACCTCTCTTCGGTTTTGGAATGCTCCGGCCATCAACAAACAAATTTTCCCCACCAAAACAATTGTGAAACCAAGAACGGTCGTGATCCTCCCAACTGTCGTCACTTTCAGCCCCTCAGGACCTCTAGGATTTTAAAATGCGTCAACAGTCACAGGGATCGCGGGGTAGGGGTCAAAATCCTCGTAACTGTCGTCGCTTTTAGACCCTCGCATCCTCTTAAAGCTTGAAAAGTCTTAGCAGACGAATCGCTGGGGTCGGGGTCACGATTCTGTCATCGCTTTTAGACCCTCTGACCCTCTTGGATGATGAAAAGTGTCAACACTCACAGAGATTCAAAGGGTCAGGCTCGCGAGACGGTCGTTTCTTTTGGACCTTCGGATTCTCTCGGAGTTTGAAAAGTGTCAACAGTCGCAGGGATTTCGGGGGGCGGGCTCACGATCCCCGCAACTGTGGTCGCTTTTGCACCTTTTGATCCCGTGGACAATCACTGGCACTGGAATTTGCAGCATTTTGGCCCGTGTAGAGGCTGCAGATACTGTAAAACAGAGCATTGGGAGCCCATCTAGAGCTTGTAGTTGAAGCTCTTCAGAACTTGCAGATACTGTAGATCACAGCACGCCAGCTCTGATTTGTTTAGTTTAGTGCCGATGCATGTTGTAAATTACAGCACCCGGAGCCTTGCAAGTCTTGCAAAGACCATAGACACTGCGAATGGCAGCAGTAAGGGAGATTTTCATTTGCGCAGCTGGATGGCGCAAACAAAACCATCCCGAACAGCCGTTTGGGCGGGGCTGCGTGCCCGTTACACCCATCTATGTATCCTCAGCACCCCCTTAAGGGCATCCTGCTCCTGAAATACTAATCAGTCCTTCCTTCGTTCCTTTCTTCCTTTCTTCGTTCCTTCCTTCCTTCCTTCCTTACTTCCTTACTTCCTTCGGCCCTTCCTTCCTTCCTTCGTTCCTTCCCACGCTCTTGCCTTCTGTATCTATATTGCAAGCGGGAAGTTTTTTATCTGGAAAGAGTTGTTTTAGACCTTCCTTCCTTCTTTCCTCCTCACCCTCGTGCCTTCTGCGTCTATATTTGCTGGGAAAGTTTTTCTTGATCCGGATGTGTTTTTGATCTGGAAAAGTTTGATTTTATCCTCCAAAATGTTTTTTTTATGCGCATCCCGTTGGAAAATCACAGCTAGTGCTTCTGCTTGGAGCAATCTGCAGACACGTCCTGTGCTAAGGATGTTGTCCTTCCTGAATCGTTCAGAACTCGGACTGCCTTGCCACTGCACTTCAACAGAACCTGGCCCTAGCTCGTCTGCAAATGATCCAGCCAGAAGATAGCTCTCAGATGCCGACACGTTGTGCCTGCTGGCGCCCATGTTGCGGCGCGATTCGGTCCGGACGTGGTCGAGCTGGCGGTGGATAATCCGGTGGCTGTGGCCGCAAGTTTCGCGGCCGTGGCGGAACTGGTTGGAATTGTCCCAGCCACGGTGCCCTCAATGGGACTGACCACGCGGGCTGAGGGGGTCTGGGCTCATCCTGCCAGTCCTGGCTGTCTTGCCAATCTTGCCAGTTTTGCCGGGGTCGAACTGGCGGAGCCTCAGTATCCAGGGAACGCTTCCTCGAAGCTTTTAAACCAGCAAAAAGCAGCTTGGTATCCCACCCTGGGGCGCCCTTTCATATGGCAGGAGAAAAAGACGTGCCGGTTGCTCTGGCAATTTCGCTTACAACCTCTGGACTAAAGAGGAGAAGTATAGTGGAGGAGTTGATAGTCTGACATGGCGGTCGGTGTTTGCTTTGTTTTGCAGCGCATTTGCAGCACGACGTTGGGGCTTTGGATGTCAAGCAAGCTTTCTTGACGGCCCCTTTGTTGTCTGGCAGCATTCCCATTGTTGTCAAGTTCCCTTCCTTTCTTGTAGACTTAATATGTGTAGCGAACGCTACTGGTTGGTCCATCACGCGTTATATGGATTGGTAACCTCCCACTAATTTAAGTCCTCGTCAAGAGATACAGATCCGCTGCTCCCACCACTTTGAGCCACAAGCTAGGCTGGCGCGCGAAGCTCTGCATAAGCACGAGAAACATGCCATGACTGCTATGAGTCTTGCATCCAACGCAGAACCTTAAGTCTGAGCAATCCACGCTACCACCAGAATTTTGGAAGGACACCCTGGCTCCTGCCACGGTCTCCCGGAAGGATAGCATAGGACAACTTATCAGGCCTTTCGCAAGTCATTGACTTTGATGCAACCGGGCCAGAAGCCAAAGGCTGCCAGCGCTAAACGATTCAAATACTTCAGCGGGGCCTGACCAGATGAACGGCCAGTCTGAGTATACTTCCAGAGGTGCTGCCAAGCTGCCAGCAGCCAGAGCCGCCAAACTTCAAAAGGTGCCTTACTTTCCGAAGGGGAAGACCTAAACCTTTCTGACATAGGGCCCTTTATGCTCGAAGAAATCTGCGGGCAAGCGACGGAATGCTGCCAGCAGCCGCGGTCCTCTTTCAGCTCTGTACCCAGAGTGGCCAGGCGGATCAGCAGCACCTGACTAAAGAATACAAAGATAGCAACCAGAAAGAACATGCCCAACTTGTCACAGTCACCTCTGCTACACCACAAGCAATCACTGTACCGATGCGCATTGGCAGCAGCAGGACGCCTTGTCTCCGAGCACAAGGGCAGATAGAACAAATGCATTGAAGCTTGACATGCGATCCAGCCCCAAACTCAGAATGGATGCAGGCAGGCAGCCCACCAAACCTGCTTTGAAGATCCTGTGCAAAGCACAACGCAAGCAAGCTCGACGCATACTCATCTTAAAATTTGCGTTCCAAGCTGCTCGTAAGGAGTAAGCGCAGCCGGATTGGAGAAGGGGTTCGGCACCGGCTCAATGAGGCTCTCCTACCACAGGCTTCGTTCAGCATAGCTTCAACAATCTGGCGACAAAGCATGGGGAATCCAGAATCCATGCCCAACTCTAACAAATCCAAAACTATCACCTGTCATGGGCTTCATGACCTGGTCTTGGAGAGAGAGAAAGACAACAGTTTCGCATACGTGCCCATTTCAGTATGTCCATGTCATTCCATGTCTAAAACTCTCAGCCACAAAGGGAAGCGTTGCACAGGCTGCAGTGAGGGCGATGCCCGAATGATCTGGCACGTGCAGCAGAACTGCTCGATATGCTTTTGGATTTGAAGTGCCGAACCCTCAAACTCGTGCGTGTGTCCTCTGATCTTACGCGCATCTCCCGCACGGTGGCAGAGCGTGAAAGCCACAATGACGGCTTGTGAAGCCGGCCAGCAATAGCCCAAGCAAAACCCAAACCGAATCTCACAAGAAGTTGCCCCTCGCCTGGCGTCGCATGAGCTCCTGTCCACTTCGAGCCATGGCAAAACGAGCGAAGGCCAGAAGGTGCTTGGCAGGAAAAACCAACCACACCTCTGCGTGTTGAAGCACAGATCATGCTGCTCGTCAAAAGGTGCGAAGGTGTTGTTGAAGTGCCCTGGTCTGTGTGATCGTGCCGAATCATGCCTCTCTGCAATCCCCACATTGGGCCCGGGGCTGCAGCAAGAGAATGGTTGAAGTGAAAAACGATGACGCTGCATGCTAAGGCCTCTAAGGTGTTGCCAGTCTTTCTGGACTCCTGGTGACGAGGTCCGCACCGCCACCTCGGAGGCACCGCCACCCAGCCAGGCGGCTCGGCTTCGCAGGAGGGTGGCTCGTGCCTCCAATCTCTGACCTCGGAACAGGTGTGGCGAAGGGATGTGAGGGCGGAACTTGAGGAACAAGGCCCTGACTCAATGCTTCACAGCCTCCGTGATTTCGCAAAGATGCCTTGCTTTGCTTGGGGAGGCTGCTGCGAAAGCGTCTTGAGAGTATGTTTTGGAACGCCTCTAAGTCCGACAGCACCGCAGATGCCCTGGCAGCTGCGAAGATAACTGGTGAACATGTGCTTGCACTCACGCATGCCAAGGAGACGCCACAGAGGGCTTTACTCTGAGAGGCACCCGAAGCAGCCCCTTGACCCCACCAATCAGCTAGAGGTAGGAATTCAAGGATGAACAAATGGGTAAGGCAAACACAGAGATGACGCGTGCGGAGCATGCTCCAATCTAGAGTCTGGCGCAAAGTCAGGGACAGGATGAATGGATGGCTATCTGATGGGCTGCTGCTTCGCGAAGACTTCGCGCAGCAAGTAACAAGGACAAAAAAAATGAAAATGCCTACTTGGATGATAAGGTCAGGGGTGGGCCGCACTGGGATCCCAGAATACAGCATGCCATTGGGCGAAAACATCGCACGCAAGGAATAGCGCAGCCACGTTTGGTCTTACACAGGGTGCCCGATAACTGCCCTCAACTTACTGGCTAGCCCAAGGTAAGAGACATCTGTCGAGTTCCCAAGTCAAAAACCACGCAATCTCCCCGGAGCGTAACATAGTGTAACCAACAAGGTTGTCACGGGTAGTCCAGACGCCAATGATGTCCACTGCGCACGTTCACGATGAAAACTGGTGCACCCACAAGCTGGAAGCATGGAGCAGTCCTGTCCAGGTTCAACTGGTGTAGGTGGCTGCTGGCAACAGTCAGTCGAAGTACGCCCAGGACTGGAGTCAGCCTGACAATGGCAAAAGCTCATGTGGACCAAAGCAAAACGGGGACGAGCATGTTCGCATAGCTTTGCAGACGGCTGACACTCCTCTGACTTGCAGTTGAAACATGCAGAAACATCTTTGGCGTCAACTCTTCCACTGTTAGATGCTTTCATCAGAAAGGCCATGACAGCTATCAGCTATCAAGTATGAAGCAGACCAAGGTGGACCCTGTAACTCAAGCCGGAGATGCAAGCGCATGGCGTCATCTTCTCCTCAGGCGGCATCCGCTATCTGTCCAAGGAACTAGATGGCAGTGTCTACAGCCCTCGGCGAGAAGCACCTCTGCAATCATCCAGGGCTGATCTCAGCGCATCCTGCCCAAAGCCCAGGCAAATCCCACTAGCTCTAGAGGAGACCGTCAACGGGTCCTCGATCTCGTGCCGGCCGCCCTCACCTAGCGCACATGGTGGCCGCCAGGATGCGAAGCCTGCTCTTCTCAGCCAAAATGGAATAGCAGAAAACGAGGATCATCAGCTAGTTGGAGAAACACAAAGACATGCAGAAAGGCCGCGCGGTCGATCCACAAATGAGTAAATAGGAAGATGGACAAGAAATGTCTAGCTAAATGCATGAGCAGGAAGACAGGAGTGCCAGCTGACTGCACCGAGCTAACTGCTCGATCTTAACTGGCATGAGCTATCCACAAGACATGTGCATCTGAACGCAAGGCCAACTTTTTAACATAGCTGCCCATGTCAAAGCAGCACGAGTAGTCTGGAACAAAGAGAGAAGGCACAGGCCACAGTGCGATTTCCGAGCAGGTATCCTGTTTCCTTGTGACAAGCAAGCTCTCTAATCGGCACTGCGGCACCTTCATCTGCTGCTCAGATTGTTACTACCTCACCTTCAGGAGATAGAGCAAAGAAAGTCTGATCTTGGTTTGGTCCCGACGTCGTGCTGGGCACCTTTCCCCAGGGAAATACGGAGAACCTCTCTAAAGTGGCGCAGGCCTCAGATTTTGTCAGATCATCTCCTACACCATGAACCTTGGGGCATCGCCCAACACCCAAGTGTATCATACTGCCTGTTGCATCCATTGCTGACTCGCGATAAGCCAGCACAGCCGAAATTGAGGACTCTTGCTGTAGTCTCCCAACTGCCTGCCAGCATTCTCTGATCGCGCACCCTGCTGATCTCGGGAAGGCTGCGCTCAAGGATTGCCATGCAGACATGGAGTCTACAATCAACAGTCCGGCGGTTGGATTTGAAGCAAAGACTGTGCGCAGCTCGCGTAATTGTCGAAGGAGGTCTATAGGCTCGTGCGGACGAAGCACCAGAACTCTGCTCAAGGACTCGGTGACAATTTCTGATACCGTTTCCCGTGATGCACCAGCGCGCTCGGCCTTCACCTTCAGAAGCCTTGCCAGAAGCGACGCATCAAAGCAGTGGTCGGCATCCACAAAGACGGCCGGGAGGCTGTGGCCGCCAGCATCCTGGTCCAGAACGTAGGAAGCCAAAATATTCCGAAGAAGGGCTGACTTTCCAGCTCCAGACTCCCCGTGTAGGACCACAGCATGGCTGGGGCTCAAAGCATTTGCTGGGAGGTGATGATCAAAGCAGGGCAGCTGGGTTCCCCTGCTGCTTTGCAACATCCGGTAAAGATCAAAAGCTGTTTCATCAATCTCAATGATGGAGTGCTTGTGACTTGTGCTGAACACGGCATCACCACCATCGTCTGCTAGCACGAGCGCCATCGGGGGGGCAGAAAGCCAAGTTCTTCACTTCAGCTTCGCAGCTGCTAGGTTAGCCTTGGCGTGCTCAAGGCTTAGCAATGCAGTGTGGGATGGTTTCCACTTACCAAACTCAGCAAACACACAGAACAAGCGGCTGCGGACACAATGCAGCAATTGTAGATCATCCCTGGAGGCTGAGGCCCATGTCCAGGCCCAGTCATACAGTGAGTAGGGGCAACCAGCATCATTGCGCTTGCCTTGCATCCTCAGCTGGTATCGGCCTGGTCATGTCAGCATGTCAGCAGGTCCGGTTTGAGCAGTGGAAAATCAGCACCAGGAGTTGGGCGTTCGAGCTTCTTGAGGTGCTTGGCAATAGTCCTATCCACCTGATGGCCTCGCCATCCACCAGACCACATGGAAGAAACTGAGAGCAAAACCAGCAAGAAAGCGATCAAGCAGTTTTGAGACGCTATCAAAGAAGCACTCCGAGCAGCCGGCGGGAGCTCACTCCAAACCCCTGCTAACAGCACAGCGTGCTGGGAAGCTAGACTGGGAGCTGACAACGTAAAACAAGGCAAGATTCGCAAAGGTGGCCGTTCAAGGGTTGTGACCTTTTTTTGCCATATGCCAAAGCGCACTAGTTGTCGCACATCGGCAATGATTTTCAAAAAGCCATGTGTTGTGAATTGTTGTGAGTTTTTCAGTTTTGCAGACCAACACGCAAGATCAATTTCATGCGTTTCGCTGTGGTCTTAGCGCGTTTTGGGATGATTTTCGCTGCTATAAACGGGGTCCACTGTGACGAAGACGGCCGAAAACGACACGGGATTTTTCAGGCGATGTTGGTTTGCTCGCGGGCTCGCTCGGGAAAATGTGTTTTTTCTCGTGCTTGTTTTCCGCTTTTGGAGTGGGTCGTCTTCATTGTTGCTCCCCGGCCCCGCCTATGAACCATGCCAACAAAATGGAAGCATCGGCCACGTTAACCTTGAGCATGATGGAGCATGCGGCTTAACATGCCAACAACATCCCATTGATCTGTTGGGAACCATGCTCGTGCAAAGCATTCCTGAAAGCATTCTGTAACCCTTAAAGCCTTGAGCCCTATACACTTCCCATACAAGCTGCTCAAAAAGCCATTTTCGAACCCGTCCTGGGCAGTAACAAAATCATCTACCATCACGCGAAGACCCCAGCAAACCTCACAAAACTGATCATGCATGTCAATCTACGAAATTACAAGCACATTCCCAAAATGCGCCGCTTCCTCAAGAACACGTCGAGCGCAGCAGCCATCCCCAAAGCCGCATGCATCTACGGGGCTCTTACAAAAAGCCTGCCACGGCCGTGGATGCAACCACACAGCGTACGTTCTTTACCCCACCCCCGCGAAAACCATCCAAAAGTGGCGAAGCTTCCACATCCACAAAAGCGGCGACCCTTTCACGACCGCATTCACAAATCCTACCAAAAACAACATCCAAGGACGTCACGGCATCAAATATTTAGGCCTTCTGTGAGAAGAGGAGCATAGTGTCAACCTGCTCCGACCAATTCACAGACTTCAACTGCAATTGGGTAAGGAAACAAAACCTGGTATCAACGGACCATTCTTTACCAACTTCCCTGGCGCACCGATGGGTATTGGGAGAAGATGGCTTCGTCCCAAAGGTCCTTGAAAGCTCGCACAGCAGCTCTCCTCTTCAACTCAACCTCTCCACCAACTAGTATAGAGGAAAGAATCGAAGAATCCAGCCCTTCTCTCATGCACCATCAGCCTCAGCTCAAACCGAATTACGGATGGCCCAGTCCTCGTCCAAAGACGCCGTATTCGACTTCTCTTGGTCAGGAGCCCTGCAGAAGCTGACCACAGGAATTGCGCCAGGCTTTTGCCAAATGCCGAGACTCATGCCGGGCGACAACCTGCGGCGAAACTCTGACCTTTATGTCTTGTGTATCAGCTGACGATTCTTTTCACGCCCGAAGGCTAGATTGCCTCCCGAAGCGGGGATTTTTGCGCTGCCAACAACTGTCGCCTGGGACAGCGCTGCTTGCTGCTCTGCCATCCCTGATATGCTGTGAGCGCGGCTTGGCCACCATCACACGCCTGGTGCAGGTTTGACGCGGTTGCACATGGTTGTACAGCGCGGCTGGGCGTAGCTTCTCGTAGCTTGCATGAATTCGCAAAACCATCCACATTGCCACATCTATCCGCTGACTCGCGGGTGGCCTGTGCTGCATGAGCTCCCTCCACGCCCTGATCCCAGAAGCCGAGTATGCGCTGCTCGTGGCAAATTGCAACGGAACCTCTGAATATGCAACGCACTTCGTCGAAGAGAAGCCTGACATCTGAATCTCTGCTGGTCCTATTTGAGCGGACAAGAGAACGCACGGTACACCTCATCGACGCCAGGTCTGAATCGCAGCCTGGACTCGCATGCTTCTGCATGGGTTTCCGGCAGGATGTCATTCCGCACGCTTGGCAAGCACAATCTTCTTAGAAAAACGACGGGCCTTGCCGTTGAGTTGTACATATGCTAGGACCCTCTTTCATTGAAATGATCCACTGCAACCTCTCTGCCTCTGGGATGGCCCCTGCCAGCAACATACCCAGAAACCTCCTATGCCATCCTATTGCGACATTTTCGACATGCGCGGGACAGCCGCAATTGTGACAATAACATACACTCACATACACGGCGAACCTTTTGCAGGCATCAACATTAGGATTCAGGGCTGGAAAGTTGGAACGCGTCATCACTGCAGACTGCTTTGCAGCTTGCAGCCCACGCTTTGACGTCCAGCACGTCCGCCAACTATCGCGAGTGGAGCAGGTGGCAAGTGAGGCAAGTGGGGCAAGTGGGGCAAGTGGGGCAAGTGGGGCAAGTGGTGCAGGCCAGGAAGCGCAGCAAGTCGGGTGCAGTCCCCATGCCGACGGCTCTCCTCTGCTTCACGCCAAGCACTGCTTGCATGGGTCTGCTGTGATCGTTGCTTGGCGTCTACAGTATTTGGATATCGCTCTTTTCGTTCAGCTTTATTGCCTATTTTCTTCCGTCCGTGCCACTTGGTGCCCCATCTCTTTCATTTCTGTCCCGCTCGCCCCAACTGTCCCATTCACCCCACTTCTCGCATTTGCCCCACGTGCCTGGCCTGCATCACGCCCTCCACTTGCCCTCCTGCCCCAACCAAAGATCCTTAGGTTGTGTGGTAAGGGCTGCCTGCGCAACGTTTGGGCAGAAACTCGAGGTCCAGCGGCAGCACTTATCCAAAAGGCCACCCAAAGAAAATAAATGTCAACTCAAGCGATAAACTTTTTGAGACCGTGCAAAGCCATATACCTCTTGGTACAACTAAGTCCTCCTGACAGGTCAGCCAAAACTAAACCAAACATGTTCCAGGATGCCACATGCTGTCTCCCTAGTTCAAGTAGGAGTGCAAGTGAAACCAACTTGCCAGACGTGAGCCCGACGCCATTGCCACAGTTTCGCGTTCCACCGCCTTGCCTCAGTCGTGCCATCTCCACTGGCTTCTTTGACATTGTACCGTTGAGGCGTGTGACATGGGCTTCTGTACACATAGAGATGCTAAACTGCTCACAGAATGACTATCTGACAGCCTACTGAGGCATGCAACTGTGTGTGGTGAAGAAGTCAGGGTCTGAAGCTGGCCTGCGTCGGGGGCAACGATCTGAACAGCTTGCAAAGATGTTCATGCCATGCTGGTTCCAAAAAGAGTCTCAACCGTACCCCACTTCTCTTGCCTGCCACAGTGCCAACATTTTCTGGCGATCCTGATGATTTGTCACAACATGAACACTACAAGATAACTCCAAGAAATGAAGACATTCTTTTGCGGAAGGACGTAGTGAGCCTCCCGGCAATGGCAAACTCCGTTGCGGCGTCTTGCGAGATGCCCTCAACCAGAGGCACAAAATTGTGCGCTGAGATCCTAAGGTCCTAATGTAAACCTCTTCAACAGCTGACTGCGCAACGCTCTTTGCTAAGCAACTTGCACTACTAAAGCTCGTGGGCGCTGAAAGTGAGACCTGGTCATCACAGCTTCCACAAAGCCAACGGTAATATGCCAAAGCTTCTTTGCAATACGAATCTAAGCGGAGAACACCTCAGCATGCAACTTCTGCCATTGCTCTCCCCAACCTCAACTTGAACGCGTTGAGAACGCTAGGGACTGCTGAGATCACGGATCTGGATTTGCGCGTGCACTGTCATGTTTACTGTTCCAATTGCACAAGCCCCGGTGAAGCCCATTTACTTCTTGGACCTCATACGCTCTTCAGCCAAAGCTGGGTTGCATTGAGCACGTCCGAATCTGAGATGATGCATGCTTATGACTTGTTTGGACCAAGGATACAACTTGCCATCATTTGAGACTTGTGCGGACAACAAGGCGAAGACTACAAGTCACGTCGCATTTCGCGAAAGCTGCCGTTTTTGCCATGTTTTCCGTCATCCACACACATTTTCTATCACACATAAGGCAAACATGATCAAAGCGTTGCATATGCAAGTCTAAGCATTCCGCTGCATGCATATGGCATTCCAAACTACCCCGCTGGAAACTGAGTCCTCTGCATCTGTCCGCACCATCAACTTGGTCAGGTGGTGCCATGCGACCGAGGAAGGGTGAGCCACACGCTGCATTTGGGGGCCGCAAGGCAATATCCCATGTACCAGATTTTGGGACAAATCATGCAACAATCGTCATGCATGTGCAAAATTGCATGGCATCGATGGATGAGCTTACTGAAGGAAACAAACGAGGCAAAGCACCGCGGAAAGCTCTGCATACGAATACCTCATTCGGCGAAATCCATGCGAATGCCATGGGAAGTCAAGCACAACCCAACTCTGACAACACGTTCGAAGGTTGACCTGCGCATTGGCACAACTCGATTGAGCCCCAAGCTCCAAGGAAATGGCCTGGCGGCTGATTACAAACCATGTCAAAGCTGCTACTGCTGAATCGTTTGAACATGCTGCTGCCACCCGCAGCTGCGCACTGGGGTCTGAAATGCCACGCCACCGCAAAGGGCCTGCCTAAGTTTCAAGATTGAATTTGGTTGACCCAATATGCTCTTTGCACACCGCACGCCCTGAAGGCTCGACCGCAGTGTCACCTCCTCCAATGCCCGTTGCGTAGCACGACATAGCCTGCAGAAAGATGGCACGTGGTGTACACGCATACGAGCTGTTTGCTTGGAGCCCGGCCACCGGTCCAGACGGACCTGCTCAAAAACAAAGATGTCTCATGCGGCACCCATGTGCTGGCACATGGCCTGGCATTGCCCTCCGTGTGGAAATTTCTCATGGTGACACACCCCGTCCCTTGAACCAAGCCGCCTACAACTTGTTGACGTAGCCAGCTCGGACAGCAGATTATTTGAGAGTGTCGGCCTTTGGGGGGGATTAAAGGTCCGCAGCCGCTTGCCCCACTTGATCCACTCGATCCTCTTGCCCCTCTTGCCCCACCTGACCCACTTGGCCCCCGTCCGGAAACTCCACAAAAGCCACGTGAGCCCCAAAACGAACCCCTCCCCACGTGCCCCGCCCTCCAGACCCCCCCCACTTGCCCCATTTGCCCCACCACAACGTCGCCCCCAACTTTTGCTCCGCAACCGCTCCAGGCAAATGTGACAGGTGGGTCAAATGGGGCAGTGGGTCAAATGGGGCAAATGGGGCAAGTGGGACGGGCGCTTTTAATGTTCCCCCCCGCGGTCGCAATGCATCATTTGCAACAGTTGCACGCCATCTCAAACGAATTCTGCTCGCAACTTTGGCTACCGCACTCTCCTTACGGCCAAAACAACAAATTTGTGAGTACTTTTTGTGCAATCGTAGCTGCCTCTCGTGTCCGAGCCCGTGCTCCAAACGCAGCTTGTTAGCTCGTGCGAAATTGGCCTCTGCCTGATTGCATCTCTGTCTGCGGCATTGGGTTGCCAACCCACCCCATGTCAGCTTGGAATTCGTGAGACATGCCACTGAAATTGCAGCATGTGTGCAAACCATGGCGTAAAACAACCCAATGCCGATGGGCAGTCCCAGGCCCGAAAGGCCAGAAGTACGGTACTTAATCCGGTGGTATGCCGATACGCCCATAATGCGCCATTCCGGGCGTGATGGGCCAGAAATAATTACGCTATCCCCCTTGCTTGTAGGTGGCAGGGTTACATGGCCACTTCAATGGCTTCATGTGGCACTGAAATCGGTCCATGTGGGGACTTAAATGGGACCATGTAACGTTCGTCGGGTACCTCAAAATGCACCCCATTTTAATGTCGGACCGGGTTCGGGCCTAGCCTCGAACCCTTCATTTTCTTAGGCTTTGCCACGTGCACCTCATGCCTGATAGGACCCTCTACTACTTGGCCTTGTTATGTATGTTTTTCTCATGTGTACCCTGGCCTACGAAAGTTTCCTTCCTGTTTGGGAGATGTTGTACAAAGACTCCAAAAAGATGAGAATCCACATCCTGAAATCGGACCTAGCTGTCCAGCTGCTCCTCACGTTTGGCAGGCTAAGTTATGCAGCTGTTCCATTGCAGCCTTCTGGATGCCGAGTCTCGGAATGACCAATACGGTACGAATGTAGGTGTAATGTAACTTGGGCCCATTTTAGCAGCACAGTTCGGGCCTCCGTAGCAAACACACACATGGGACGTGGTCAACCTGTAGTCCTTTGGGGTATTTTTGGCTTTGGCGCTTAGGACTTGCTGGTTGGCTGGCTGGCTGACTGGCTGTGGAGCTAGTACACCCTTGCCGGCCCTGGCCGCCATGTGCGCGTGTACCGCGTCTAGGGGCTACCCTAGCACTACAGCTGGGACCCCGTAGCCAAACACACATATAATAATTACAATTTTTCATTTTCGCTCGCAATTGCCGGCCGTACCCAGCCTATAGAGCTCCATTCGAGTGAGAAAGCCGCACTTTCACTACGTGCCACAAACAACATACACCACCGACTGAAAACCATCATAACAGACAGTAGAACAAAACAACTGGTAGTGGAAGTAAAAACAATGACACCAATAATACCAGATTGTGGTAATATGAAATGGTAGCATTATTACCACTTCTTACGAATGAGTATTATTCGTATTTTGGGTTATTCGTTATTGCTATTGTCTGTTGTGTTTTTTTCACACAAAACATAATGATAAACAGTAGTAATAGTAGCAACGCATGAAAATAGCAACGCATAATGGTTCCTGAGTAGGAATGACAAATGACATGGATAGTTAAAAGACATAGCAATTATGATCAAGACTATCCACATGCAATGAATGATATCAGGAAAATAATAGTGAGCAGTATTATCCATAGACACAAGCGATAAATAACATTAAGAAAGACTGTTGAGAAAAACTAGAATGGACAGATAGAAAGAGTAGCAATGAATACAACAAAGTACTTTTATTAACAACAAAAATACTAATACTAGCACAAAGAGAATATCATAAGTGCATGGTTATGATAGCTCAGGTTTTAAACGCCTATAGCTGCGCTACCGGGGTAACGCAACATTGTTGTTGCGCACCAACACCGGGTGCTATGACTGCTTGATCCCCGGGGCTGTGCCCTTGCAGACTAAAACGACAAATTGACAAGTAATAATAAGCACAACAAGTATAACAGCACGATGTGATAGCTTTTTTTTGTCATGTAATACTCTCTGTTGCTATTCGTTCTTGTCAGTATTTATTCGCATTATTTATGTGCACAAGACATAATGATAGTCATACCGTGCTCATAATGGTAACGCATAATAACAACAACAGCAGCAACAACAAGAACAACAAATCGTGATCATGTATAGTAATAACAAATGAAACGGAAAATGATAAGACAGGGCAATGATTCACCAAGTAAATCCAGGAAATAGTCACAATGAACAATATCAATGAACAGAAATATTAGCAGCGACCAGTAATAGCAACGCATATTGGTAAGATGGCACGGACTGTGATCAAGAATAGCAGTGAATACAACGAAGTCCAGGTGCTGTGACTGCGTGATCCCCGGGGCTGCGCCCTTGCAGACTACTACTAGCGAGCAGTGACAAAACCAGACAATAATAGATATGAAAACAAAATAAGAGCATTCGTCAATAGTAGCGCACAATGTGGTAGCATTTATGTTTTGCATCGTACTATTTATGACTAGTTGGTACGATTATGTGTTATGCTTTGTTCTATGATCACAAGATATAATCATGATTATGCAGTACTCAAAATAGTAAGGGTAAAACAGCAGCAACAACAAATCCTGACAGTTCCTACTAGCAACATGTCAAACGGATACTGCGAAGACATAGTAATGATGAGAAAGGCTGATAACAATGAATAGCAAACGGACATAAGCATGATGAACAATCTTAATGGGCATAACTGCAAAACATAGCAATGATGAGCCATAATAACGCACATTAATGAAAGATAGTATCGTGATACAGAATGGCAATGCATACAACGAAGTACTCCAATCAGCAATAAGAATATTGAGACCACAAGGAACATGTCAAAAATGCATAACTATGCCAAACTATGCCATCTAATCTCATGCTTTAATTACAGGTGGTACCGCCAGGGGATTGCAACGGATACTTTTGACGCCAAGCTGGACGTACCTACCAGCTTTTTTGGGAACTATTTGATATGATCCTCGCGCGTATTCGTAACCCCAATGCCCAGCTACACGCTGTATATGGTTGTCGTCTCACGGTGCTGATGGTCACAGTGTTCAGTCTGGGTCTCTACCGGCGACACTGCGAGACATCCACGATGCGGTGTCCGCAGTTACCACAGAATGCGTGTCAAACATTGCGCGCGGGGTCCCATTGTAAAAAAAGTGATGGCGTTTTTTCACGGCTGTCTCTAAGAGACAGGTCCGTCAACGAGCATGGGTCATGGTCAGAGTGAAAATGGAATGATCTACATCGCACATTTTGGAATACCAAGCACATACAAAGAAGCAAATACACAACGGGGTGGCTATCCGGATGTAACACGTGGCAAATTACAATTATGTGCGACGCATATGTACGTACAACAATTTGCATTCAGCTAATGAATCTCATATCTCACATGCCTCAGCCTGGCTGCACACAGCGTGGACGTATTGAATGTTGTGCATGATGTCGCG